CCCGAACTCAGTAAAGAGAGCTAACAGTCTCTGCAATAGGAAATGTCTACATATATACTTAGACAAAGTTCATTGGTTCACCGAAATCTGCCAAAATGGGCAATCAGTTTCTGTAAGTGACGCTTCGTTGGTTCTTGATGATCAGTGGTTTATGCGCTTTAAGAAAAATGTCGGAACGGAATAACGGGCATTTACCCTGCATGAAAAGTATGCCATATTGTATTTATATCTGGACATTATTTCTTTGTAATTGGAAAATAATATATTCTGATAAAATGGACACTCGGTTATAATGAACAATTCGATGCGGTCCGGTTGAGTCCATTGTAACCGGATTGCACTGTACTATACATATGTAAGTAATGTCACTCAGAAAAGTTTTTTAACAATTATTCTCTTTTGACCAGATTATCACTAAAAAGAATTTTAAATTACTTAAAATTAAGAATACAAAAAGTTAGGTGCCATGAGAAATTTTGGGTAACAAAAATTATGTGAAAAGAAAAAAGCTACAATATGGGCGTTTCCAGCGAAAGGTCTACCGTGAAAATAAGTCATATATCTAACTTATTTGTGGTTTAATTTGGCTGCTTTTCTCAATACATATATGTATACTGGTGATGTAAGCAGAAACCATTTTGCCAGGGTCGGGTTATTTTGAAAAGCCGTATTTATGCTCCGATTTGTTTGAAATTTGGCATATGTAGTCACATATTTGCAAAAAAATTTAATTAAAAAAATATATGTACATTAGACTGCATCACTCCCCATACAAAAAAAAATCGGTACTATTTTTCCATTGGAATTATAAAATCTATTATATTTTAAGACATCCACCAAAATATTTCCGGAAAATATTAAGATTTAAGTGAGCTGGACCGATTTGAAAATACCTCCAAAAATGGAGTTTTTTATGAATAAAAATAGTTTCTTAAAGATTTTTTTTGAAATAATCTCTCAAATGACAAAACGGTTTAAGCTTAAAAAATTTGCATAAAAATATTAAAAAAATCTAAAAAAAAATTTGAACGGAATCGTAATGATGAGATTTTTGATGCTGTTTTTTAACTTTTTTCAAAGATTGGTATAGGAAAAACTTGAATAACTGAACCTTAACTCTTCCGATTTAGACTTGGAATGGTATTTTCTTGCCTTTTTCATTTCCTTGCTAATGAACTCATTCAAATGATGGAAGAGAAAGGTAGGATGAACGAACGTCATTCAAAGTTGAATTAAGATGTGTTGGTATTCGAAAAAACAAGATGGGACACGAATGACGTTTTTTTGGCCAGAAATAAAAACAGTGTGAAAATACCCTTCTACTGAGATCCCATAGTTCTAAACCAGAACCTTTTTGGCCCAGTTATTCAAGTTTTTCGTAAACCAATCTTTGAAAAAAGTAAAAAAACAGCATCAAAAATCTCATTCTTGCGATTCAATTGAAAAGATTTTCAAATATTTTTATGCAGATTTTTTAAGCTTAATCTAGTTTGTCATCTGAGGGGACTTTTTTCAAAAAGTTCTTTAAGAAACTATTTTTATTCATAAAAAACTTAATTTTTGGAGGTATTTTCAAATCGGCCCAGCTCGTTTAAATCTTAATATTTTTCCGAAATATTTTGGTGGACGTCTTAAAATCTAATAGATTTCGTAATACCGGCGGAAAACCGCAACTTTTTTTGGTGATGCAGTCTAATGTACATATATACGACAAAAATTTGGCGTTTTATTTGCGTTAAAAATTCGTTTAAAATCAATATCAGCAAAACTTTGGTAATGGAAATTTTAGTAACTTAACGTCAAGATACTTCGGCTGATAAAAAAGGAACGATTTTTATATTTAAAAACTTTGAAAATGAAACTTTAACATTTCAGATATTAGTACAAAAATTGTATACGAAAAAACATACATCTGCTTTTGTAACACGCCAGCTCATATGTATGTACATATGTATGTTTGCTTATGCCTTACTACCAAAAGCTTTTAATTACAATTTACCTTTTTTAAAATGTTGACTTTTTAAATTATTTTATTTTTTTAACGTTTTTCTATGCAAATTTCACCTCACATCAGAATGAAAAAGCTAGGGCGGCTCAATTTACATTGACGATTTTTTTCGACTCTGCGGGTAGGGTATAGGAATATTCTACATGAAATTTGACGAAGAAATCATGGCTCCAAAATCAATTTCCGGTAAAAAAGTGTTTACATTTTTTATAAAAAAAATGCAGTAAACGGCCTATAGGTATAAGGAATCTATTTCTCGACTTTTCATTTTGTTAATAGATACATCCGCCAGAGGGCGCAACACAGATTAATTTTTATAATTAAATTAATCGTTGTTCAACGTAAAATGTCAGGCAGCAATACGTGTGCGGGTGAAGCGATTGTAAAAGGGAGAGAAAGTTCAGCTAAGTAAGAGTTAGTGCAGCGGTTTTCAAATTGTAACACAATAATTATTGATTGTAAAACTATTAGGTAAAGTCCCATGACGGGAGTGTACCCATGGAATTTATACAATTGGTAACCTTAATGCCACGGATTCGTCTTCATCGTATGCCTCATCATCAGGAGAAATCAACATAATAAATATAGTTAATTGAAAGTAAAAATGTATTAGAATGGGAGTGTATACAAATTTTTTTCTTATATTATTATCTTTCATTTTTGTTCCATAAAAAATATTTTGAATATCATTTGCATAAATTTATAAATATGAACGTGGAAACCATAAACCTAACATACGAAGAAGCCCTCCTATTTATTTGCTTATTTACACCTCAGTCAATGCAGTCAGTCGTTAAATAGAGCTCACGGCATTGTCAACTGAAGTATTTCAATGAATTTCTTACGAAAACTAACATAGATAAACGACCTCCCAGTGTGATATTCACTCGAGTTCACAAACTATTTATGTATGTAACTACTTGAAAAAATACTTGACAAAAAATAACAATAATGATGTGACAATTTTGTATGGACACTTCAAACTCTCACTGATATGCGACACTCAACGACTGTAGCAATAAGTGAAGCAGCAAAAAGAGGACAGCGACACCAAGCAACAGCGAACAACTTGCGCACCAATACAGAGTCACCTCGAAGGTTTGATCTTAACAGAAGTGCTGCTGATGGGCCACTTGACGAAATAGAGAAGGAGAACTTGGCCGCCGCAAGTCCGCAGGTACATATTGCCGTGCGAACCGATCAAAATGTACGTACACGCATGGAGCGAGTGCATATGTCAGACTGCGTGAGTGTGCGTGAATGTTTGCGCTTTGAAGGTATGTAGCTGAAGTCACGTTTGGTTCGTTCTGCATACTTTGGACAATGCCAAGCGATAGAAACCTGGAGAGTGGAAACCTGGCTCAGCCAGTCGACATTTTGAGCTGGTGCTGTAGTGTCCACGCAAACATCAAGTAGCCTTCATTATGCAAGCCTCCATGAGCGAGCGTGCGTTCGTAGTGGGGCATATGTTTATGTTTATCAAGCGCTCGAGCGAGAACGGAACATTTCCACAATTCCAATGTCATTCCGTGTTAACCGCAAATGCATACCTTGTCGCGCCGAGCCAAGCGTCTCTTGAGCGGAATACATTCAATTGCACTAAACTGTCGCGCTGTATGGCAGGACAAATAAAACGATACGCGCAAAAGCATCGCACCCGTGTACGTAGTGCATTAGGGTGACCCAAAGTTTTTCGTTGGCGTACAAATCTAAAGGCTTATTGCTGTAGGATGACGAAGACCCGTACGAACTTGTACCACACTGTTCGACAAAGTTACTCTTCGATGCTTTGTTTTGACAGCAAACTATCAAAATATCCTATGGAGGTGGGTTCAATCGGTATTGGCAAAAATAGCTCTTGAAAGCAGCAGGATAACTCAGATTTTAGCGATAAGCGGCTGCGGAAAAGCCAACATCTACCGGCTTTAGTCAACTTAGCGGCATAAATGTTTCAAAAATTTTAGAGAAGTACATATTGCGTGCTGTGTGGCAATCTCAATACAACTACTTAACCAAAGCCAATTTCACGAAAGCCACTTAAGTGAAAAATGATTTTAGTTTTTTGAACTTTATATGGAAATTGAAAGAATTAAAAAAATAATTTTTCGTTTAAACTGCTGGTGAAACCGGCTGTAACAGCCAGTTTCACCAAACTATTTAAGTGGAAATTAACTTTATAATTTTATTTAATTTTGTATTTAATTCTCATTTAAATAATTTTACGTTTCAATAAACTCTTTATTTAAGTGAGTAAAAAGTGGTTGTAAAACAGACTAGGACTAGCTTTCGCTTTCATTTGTACTGAGAGCTTTTGAAAGCTTTGGCACGCTGTGTTGTAAAAGCAGGGCTGGTATACAAGTAAGCAGCAGTTACACAATGATCAGGTGATTAAACGTGTAACACATCTGAGTGTGGTTATTCTGATTTAACTTTTATTTAAGTGCAGAGCATAGGTCACTTAAATCAAAATTAAAATTGATTGGTGAAACCGAAAATTCGAAAATTAAAGTTAATTTCCACTTAAATAGTTTGGTGAAACTTGCTGTAAGTTAATTAAATTTTATGTACATATGTATAAGGGAGTAATGGGAGTGTTGGCATAATTAATTTTCTAAACCTAATAATCAGATATGTTCTGGGACACCCTAATGTACATACACATGTATGCATACAGCCGTGATGCGGGAAAGGGTTTGAAGGAGTCGCTTTCCTGCCAGGCTTGAAGCGCTTGTTTACGCAGCACACTGAGGACTGTGCAGCGTTTGAGGTTATCTTATGGACATGTTTACTCAATGACAAGGGTCCACACCAAGCCCACTTGACAGTCCTGATGCGATGACACACATATGTGTGTGTTTGAGTTGAAGGTGGCTGTTGACCATTTTGCTTGTGGCGGATTTATTTCTTAATATTAAATAATACAGATCAAAATTTTATTCTAAAATATTCAACAAGGCTTAACTCATTGTTCTTTTTTTCTTCTTTCTTTTAGGCTATTTCAACAAACACATTCACACTCGGCTGTTGTTGTTTTTGGTGGCGTAATAATCGCCATGTCGCATCCATGCACTCAGGATTGTACGATAAGCATTGACTGCGACAATACTCGTGACAGGTTTTCCAGTAAGCATCCGGAACGAACAATTCTAGTCTTAACTACTGCAACCACTGCAACAACGTTAATCTGTCCAAAACGGCGACTTAATGAATATTAATCAGGAAAATTCCAGCAACGGATTCCAGCAGCGACATCCAGCACAGCAATACCCGCCAGCACAACACTACCCGCTCCCACTGCCGCCGACCCTGCAGCCAGCGTCTGTTGCTGCTGCTGCCGCCGCCATCGCCACTGGACCACACTCGCTGCCGACCAGCGCACAGCTGCAAGACCTCGAGCTTGAATATCTGAAGAAGGCGCACGCTCACGCCCAAGCGCATGCGCAAGCACAGGCCGCCGCACTTGCATACAGTTACGAGCGCCATCAGCTGCAGCAGCAGCAGCAGCACCATCATCACCACCATCAACAACAACAACAACAACAACTACAGCAACAGCAGCAGGAACTTGCGCGGCGCTCAAGTGGCGGCGATCACGATTTGTCCGGCAAACGGAATTCGCTTCATCAACAGCACAATACAGCGACAACGAGCTCAGCATCCATGGTTATGTCACCAAGCCGCCGTCCGTCACCGCCGAGGGCAGCAACTCTTCCCATGAATATGCATTTGAGTTCATTGGCGCACGCGCAGATGCAACTGCAATCGCAACTTCATCAAAAGCTTTCGGCCGCGGCATCGGCATCGGGCAGCAACAGTTTGTCGCCGCCAAACCATTTGGCCAATTATTTTCGCGGTCAGGCTTCGCCAGCTTGTGGCTTGCCACCGCCACCACCGCCGCCAACATCGAACGCCAGTGCAAACAGTCAACATCACCACTCAGCATCTAACTCATCGGCTGCCAGTGCGAGTAGTCCTGGCAGCAGTATGCAGCAGTCAGCCAATAGCGGTTCGCCTCAAAACCCGCACAACCCGCTTAGTCACCTGCAAAACATGCAACCATTCGACTTTCGCAAGATCAGTTCTACGGCGTTTGGCGGCTTGCCACCGCTGCCACCAGCGCGCATGAGTCCAAACGAGCTGGCGCATCACCAGCACCTGCAACAACAGGCTGCTCAACAAGCAGCAATGTTGGCACAGGCGCGTCGGCGCATCAACGAGGCTTCCACTCCGTCGGAGAAAAATGCGGCAGTCGCTGCGGCCGCGGCTGCTGCAGCTCAAAGCAACCAATTCTTCAATGCGATGGCTATGTCGGGGCACCCGTTGCCCTTTCCTTTACCACCACCTCCGCCTCCGCCGCCGACGCTCGGCCCAGGCGCTTCACCTACGGGTGTTCCAACAGCATCCAGTTTACCTCCGGGCCTGACGAGTAATCAAGTGGCGGCTATAGCTGCAGCGGCTGCTGCTTCCGGAAATCCAATGCCTCATAGCCTTCTCGCGTCTCATTTTCCCACAATTAATCCCAACCTAAACCTGAGCAAGCAAGCTATACGTTCGAAATCTCCAGATGCTGAGGAGGCAAAACTGTCTAAACATCAGGGCGACAGTGGAAACATGGGTCACATACGTGAACGTGCAGGCACCTCGCACGCTCAGCAGCCGCCTACTCATCGCATCCACCATCATCATCCTGTTTCGCCACCAACATCCATTGGCTCCGCCGCCATATCCAATTCGTACCAAAGTCAACATCATGAATCTCGTCAATCGCGCTCAAGTCACATCGATCACTCGTCCTCTCATTCCTCGCAACGACTTACGAGATTTTCTTCCGGCGTTAGCTTACGTCCTGGACGCAAATCGCACTCACCGGGCAAACGTCAATGGGGCACATTGCCTGCGAATTTGGGCACTCAGTTCATCAACCCGGTCACAGGAAAAAAGCGGGTGCAGTGCAATGTCTGCTTAAAGACCTTCTGTGACAAAGGCGCGCTCAAGATCCACTTTTCCGCGGTACATTTGCGAGAGATGCACAAGTGCACCGTAGACGGCTGTAGTATGATGTTCAGTTCTCGCCGATCTCGAAACCGCCACAGTGCCAATCCGAACCCGAAGCTGCATTCTCCCCACCTCAGGCGCAAAATATCTCCCCACGACGGGCGCACAGCTCAACCTCATCCGTTGCTCTTACAACCACCGAACGGGCTGATGGCCGGTCTCAATCCATTTGGCAGCTTTCCGCTGCTCACACCACCGCCCGATATGAGGCACCATCAAATGGCCAGCATGCATGACATGAAACACGGCTCAGCTGAATTTATGCACCGTTCGTACATGGACAGCGCCATGTTGGGACGCTTTGACACACGCTCTCGTCACCGACAAGGCAGTGAGGGCCAGTTGGACGATGACGAAGATGATAGCATATTGGATGGCGGCATTCACATAGGCGACGACGACGACGACGACGATGATGACGATGACGAGGGAGAGGGTATTGTGGTGGTGGGTGACGAAGGTGATAGTATTTTGGAGAAAACCAACTCAGAGGACTACAACACCGATGGCGGCGGGGACGACGCCTCCGATGTAGAAGACAACAGTCACGATATGGATCTCACCTCGCCTTTAACGACTGACTACAAGCATACCAAAGAACCATCTTCCAGTAAAGTACCCAGCGGTGACCGCGATGCCGAATCGGGCGTGGCTGAGCAGCACAGTAGCGAGAGCAACGACGACTCACTTAGTGTAACCGATTCGTTCAGTATGCGGGGCGACTTTGAGAGCTCTACCTTTCCGGGCGTGGGTAGTGGCGGTAGTAGCAGCGCTGCAAACACGCCTGGTTCCACATCGAATAAACGCAAGCGAAAGAGTCAGAACCCAGTTCGATGTACTGTGCAATCGGATGAAAACTCCTGTGATAACTCCAACGAATACGATTTAGTCGCCGATTTGTCGGTAAAAAAATCAGTTCCAGAAACGTGTTCTGAGGACAACGAAACAAAGGGAGACGATTCCCAAGACAACGCATCACTGGATTTGACCAAAAGAACCCGAAAGTCTGAGAGCCCAGGTCCAACAGTGGTCAACTCAAACGCCACCGAGAGTACAAAAGTTCTTCCGTCACCACCGCTGACACCATCTACGTCGACTAGTGAACCAACGGCAATGGCACGCCAACATCTATTTTCAAGCACTCAACTGAAGTCAGAGCCAATAGACGGTGAATATGAACGACAGCAAGATATTCTGAATGGAACTGACTCAAGCCAACCGCAAGAGCAAGAACACTCATTGGACTTATCTGCCGCACACAGAAGGAAATCGGAAGTAAATGATGTGAACGCCACATCCACAGCGACCGCTGACACACCACAACTCACGATTAAGCAGGAACTCATCGAAGGACCACCTCTAGAAACAACAACAAATTCAACTCCGGAGGAAATTGAAAGTAAGCTTGTGAAAATAAAGAGCGAGCTCGTAGATGTAGATGAAAGCAAAATGAACATATCAAGCGCAGAACCAGAATGTCAAATTAAAAATAATAACAACAATATTCTTCCGCCAAAGGCTGCATTAAAGTGTAGAGAAACGTTCGACATTCCTACGGCGCCAGTTGAATCCCTTCGGCAGCAAGCCGGCGAAGAAACGCATACCGATTTTCTGACTGAGGAAGCTGAGGTACCCATCGACAAAGACAACCCGCTGAAATGCACGGCTTGCGGAGAGGTGTTCCAGAATCACTTCCACTTAAAAACTCACTACCAAAATGTGCACCTTAAGCTGCACCACAAATGCAACATCGACGGTTGCAATGCTGCTTTCCCTTCGAAACGAAGCCGAGATCGTCACAGCTCCAACCTAAACCTGCATCGCAAATTACTCTCCACAGGCGATAATCACCATCACGATTCTCTACCCGAACACATGGTGACGAACAATAGCAAAGCTTTTAGCCACGCCAGCAATTCCAACTGCGCTATACCGAACTCAATACAAGCCGAATTCCTAGCACGCCTCTATGCTGGCTCCCACGGCTTGCCGCCGCTAAGCTTCGACACACTCAAACAACACTTGCCGACGGCAATGCCACCTGCGCAAAACTTCCCAGAAGCAGCTTTCATGGCTGATCCGCGACTTCTGCTCAATCACCCAAGCAATCCGCTACTATTTCCCGGTCTAACCGGGCTTCCAGGCTTCCCACACTTGGCACCTCATCTGCTCGCAGCCCCATTCAATGGCCTTAACCCGTTCTGCCGGCGCTCTTCATCCGAATCGCATTCGCCACACTCCACCCCGCCCCCATCGACAGCGACGCGATCACCACACTGCTCACCACCCAGCGGCGGACAACCCCCGCCAAAAACCGTATCCGAGCGATCCTACCCAGGCTCGCCGTCAGACTGCGAGTTCAATGCGGCATCACCGGCTGCGGTGACTGACAGGGCGAACCCAACTCAGCACCTACACCAACCACCGCAACAACGCCAGACACCCGACAGGATCTCATGACCGTATGCGACGCGCTACGCGGAAATGATGGCTTACCGACACTGATACGGTCGGGGATCCGAGTGGCCGAGCGAAAGAGTGGGGGAGTAGTGGCAGATTCAGCAAAGCGTTCACTGTCTTGAGGTGCAATATTATCTGGTGCTGCTGATTGAGCGAACAAAAACAAAACACACCACGCAACAGTTATGTATGTAAATACGATAAACCAGCTCCAGCTATTTATTATACGACTAAATTTTAATTTAATCCATAGCGTGTACTGTACTGTACTGTAGTTTGTAGGACGAAAGAGACAGTTGCATATATCGGACACACTCGCGTGTTCTTAGATTACCAAAAGTGATATGGCAAATACATACATACATATATCGAAATAATAAATAAAATCGTGTATTAAAAATTTAATAGTTTAGAACGAAACCACATATGATAGATGTAAAAAAGTATCAAGAGATTGTGTAACGGTAGTACCCGATATGCAATTGCGAGTAGAAAAATTTATTGAAATCAACTACTTTTTCATTGTGCTTTTTTGGCGACAAAACATGGTGCGAAATATCTTTGCGCTACCGTTGGAACATCTTTCAATGGCGCAAAACATCAGATAAGGTGACGGTAATGCCCTTCTTAGTCGTAGAAATGGCATAATGAAGATCAGATGAAAAACTTTCTGGGCGAAGCACATTTCGTAGTATATGTATTCATATGTGTGCAATGATATTGAAATAGATATAAGTCGATCCGATATTGCTCAAAAATGTGTATTCAACAATTTAATTTGATATTATTTTCGTGTAAACTGTAAATAAATTATCTTTAGCTTCCACGAGTGCTACTTGATTAACCTAAGTTTAAATGTCGGTTTTGTAAACATTACCTCGCCATAATTTCTACGAATTCGTTGCAGAGCAGCACGGCCCCTGGATTGTATTTCGATTCGTTGACTCTTTATTGACCATCATTCGATCGCAGGTGGGTATACCCGGAGCAAACTGTTGGAGCATCTCCTATAACTACACTGAATGCCACAGTTTAAGCATTGCATAAGCTCCCGCCGTCGTTATAGCATATTTAAGGCTTCAACAATTTTCAGACGACAATTTTTGGCTTAGACTTATTTTAATTCACGGACCTATAACCAGCCAGCATCTGTACAGGGTGGATCTCGGTTTTCCCGATCCCTTTGTCAAAGCAGATTGGACCCAACAATTCCAATTGGTACCTTCTTTATTGCGCTCTTCTATGACTCCTCTGATCTTCTGATCGTCGAGTGCAAACTCTGAATTCTGATGCCGTTACTGAGACTTCCTCCACCGATCGTTGGCAGCAAGTCACCTGAGGCTTTCCATACGATTCAAATTATTGGCTTTGCCCATTGATTGTCCTCCTCCACCTTCATGAAATCCCGCTGAGCCTACCTAATCGGCGAGGTAGCAAGACTTGACCGGTAAATCGGATTTTTGGCTGCCCAAGATCGCTGTTATCTGGAGAAGTCCATAATCGATCCGCTGACCCACTAGTTGACCACCTAGTAGACCTTCCAGTTCATTTCATATCATTTATTTATGTGTTTATATACATATCAGTGATGTCGCGAATATTTGCATTCGTATTCGTTATGCGAATGAGTCGCATTATTTTACATATTGCGAATATAACATTTAAAAGATCCCTAATACATATATAGTATATTGGTCCCCATAGTGGGAGAAAAACGAGAGTCGCCCGCCCAGCCGGATATATCAAAAAATCATATGTCTGCACACATATGCATGCATACAAATCTACATTTATTGTTTCAACGAATTAATTTCATGTTTTCAGAAAATCGCAATAATTATTTGAACAATCGATTTGAAATCAGCTTTATATAGTGTAATTATATGAATATGCAAACATCCTTACAAATCCAAGTATGTACGGATGCAAATATGGTGTGTGTGTATATATACATATATACGGTCATTAAGTTGTTCATATGTATATTGACTATTTTATTTGAAAATAACGTTTTATTAAAAAATGGATTTATCACAAGATAATACTTATCTGTAGTTATCTGTAGTTAAAAGTTATGCTCTAAAATATTGTACCTATTTTAAGTGTAATATATTGACAATTAGAAAAAATTAAATTTTACGCAATAAAATCTTTGATGAAATATTAAAATATTTGTTTCTGTTTTAGATTGTTTCACTTTGGATTATTTACATATGTATATGGTAAGAATATGTTTATTTGTTTGGAGTTAATGTTTTGTTGCTATTTCAGACATACATACATACATTCGCCGAAGCCCAGGCTCCACTGAGCCAACCAAGTTAGTGTTTGATTTTTTCATGGTAAATACACCGATTGTAAGAAATGTGATACAAGTTTAACATTTGAATGTATGGCTGCAGCTGGGTGTGCAGATATGCTTGCTGTTATTTGCAAACTTTCTTATAGTCCAAATCCCGTCCGAGGCAACATGTTAAAATGAGAATAAAAAAAAATTATGAAAAGGCATCTGTGAAGTGCATAACGTAAACGTATTCAAACGAAAAAATTTGCAACCAAAAATTTTTTTAATTTAATGTGGTTAATATAACCCAATCATTGTTGAAAATATCAATAATAGCATTGTTCATATATATTAAACACAAAAATCACTTTGATTCATTTTCAAGTTTAGATTTGGTAATATTAACTGATTTTTGGTTGAATTTTTTCCCAGTTACCAAATCAACGTCGAGCCTGTTCACCATATGAACGAATGAGGTAAAGCTTGCAATTAGGCATCCACGTCGACGGCACACCAATACCTATGCTTAAAACTCGTAAACCGAAAGTTTTCGCGATTACCTAAGACAGCTTATTTTCCTTCTCCGCGCCTAAAAACATATTTGCCAAAAAAGTGCACTCAAAGTCATCAAATAGGTCGCAGGCAGCACTTGGAGAAATACAAAGAGGCGTTGTGGGCATTCTAAACTATGAAGCGTCACTAATGTAAGTCACTTAGGGCCGGTTGTTCAATGTCTGGTTATCACTACCACTACACTATTGACGTTTTCAAAATCATGCATATAACATGTAATCGATAAAGCAGTCGTTGTACTTAAGCGAAGCTTCTACCTCCGAATTGTGTTAATCAGACATTGAACAACCGTCCCTCACTGCTGCCGCGGGGAACAGCCGAACATATGTATACATGATGGCAGTAGAGCCCCGTCTTAGGCATGACATATCCATACATATATGTATTGCACAAGCACTGGGCCTCACGTTATACCGACAAACAATATTTAAAATAAATTCATTGCGGGGCAGTGACCTTTTTTACCGACGCTCGATAGGTGAATCCCGTCAATGGATTTTAACCAACAACCATTCCAAAACGAAGATCTTCAGCAGCCTCGAGAAAGCCGAGTAACTCGGATGCAATTAAAGTCTGAATTAGGGATGGGCAGTGTAGGTTGAAACTCGATTTTTTCCGAATTTCAGACATTTTCAAACATATCGATTATTCAGTTCGGTCCGGTGGTACAAATTCGATTTATTCAAATATTTTAGAAGTGTTACACATTTTTTACAGAAAATTTAAAAGTTTGTTTGTAAGAATGATAATCGAAATCGGAAAAGAGATTTTATTGAACTTATGTTAATGTGATTAATTATCCCATTTCTTCTTAGCTTCACAACCAAAAATAAATCAAATAAGAAACCTTTTTTACAAATACATAATATAAAACAAGGAACGAAATAGAAGTTCAGCAAAATAAATAAAAATTGCCGCGACGTGGAAAAAATATCAGGAAATTAAAAAAAAAATTATAAAATGTTTTTATATTGTTTTAAGTATTAATTAAAAAAATTAGCAAGATATATGTATGTATGTATATAGAAACTAATTTCTGGAGCATATAAAGGGCTTTTATTTATTTTTACAACGAATAAAAAAGTCTAACATATCTTACATTGAACCCCAAAATCCACTCAAATCTATTCCCATCTAAAGTGACTCAAAGGATGATGAAAATTCACTCAAAGTCGAAAGGTGACTGCAAAACCAACAACTATCAAAAACTAAGTGTCTTTTAGAGCAGGTAACAGATGTCAGAACTTAAGGTGAAAGTCATACAAAGAAAATTTAGAAAAATTACGCAAATATCTAAAGTTGAAAGTCACATTAATTTTTGTTGTTGTCATTATAGGAGTGACTTAACCGGCTCACTTAAAGAAGAGTGAATTAAATATGTATGTAGAAAATTAGCAAGCGAGGCTGAAGGAGGTTTAGTTTTGTTTTCAGCATTCAGACATTATCGCAAATGCACTCAAACATCTGTTGCTCTCTTGACCACTCCACTCTTCATAAAACAAAAAACTCAGTTGGAATAGTTTGAGGGACTTCTGGCGCAGCTAAACAAGTGACGCTGACATCAATGAGTGCAATATAGAGAGCATGTTTGAAAACAAAAGGAAGCAGAACTGTCTGCGCATTGTTTCAAAAGTTCTATTGTTTTCAAAACCAAAACCCGCAGCTACTAAAAATTTAAAAGGATTATAGCGGCTGAGCCGCCAAATAACAATGAAAAGTGTTGAATGAGGTAATCAGGTAAATGATGAGAGGTCGCGCGGCTTAGTTGTGAGAAATTTAAATGTTTTAGTTGTGTTGTTGGTTTTTATATTAAGTTATAGAAAAATACAAACGACAGAAGATTACAGCGTTTTAGCCATACAAGGAAAAAAAGGTCAGAGTGAATCCTTGAGTGAAACATTCAGCTTAATACGCATGCACCTAAAAGATCATTAAAAATTGTGTTGTTCTCTAAACTATGATTATGGAAAAGTCCGGATTTTATAGCTTCTGAGCCGTAAGAATAATGAAAGTAACTACATACTGCAAGGCAAATCAGGTAAAAGACATTATGCAAATTGCGCAGCAGATTGAGTAGTATTTGCCGCAGGTGCGATGAGATGACTTTTCTTATTCTTATGTATCTATATATAAGGTGACATAGTGCAAGAATAATAATAAAACTATGATGGATTTCAATTCAAAAAGTAATTCAAAATATCTCGGGGCAATTCAGGCCTTGTAGGAGAAGAGAACAGTTGAATAAGGCTCGTTCCTATATTCGGACAAAACAAATTTTATATTGATGCAAAAAATTTCGTTTCGCAATATCTGCATTAAAAAAAAAACAGTTTTTACAGTACAGTGTTTTTTGAAACAGTTTTTAATAAAATAAAAGAATTTTTGGTGCTATGTGTACCTGTTTTACACCCCGCGACAAATAGATGCGGTCTAACAAAAGCCATGTAGATCCAAACTTGTTACTTTGTACAAAAAATCGAAACCTTCAAAAAATTTGCACAACAACAATTTTCTGGTTTGAAATGTCTGCAAAATACCGTTGATTTTTGTCATTTTCTTTTGCTGACGGTGTCACGCATTTTCTTCCAAGCAAGTATACGCTGTTCGACAATAATAGTAAAATCGAATAAGCAAAATTTGAAAATGCAGTTAAGCAGATTTATGGAGAAATGTCAAACTAACCCTAACCAAAAGGAGTTTTCGATAAAACTACATATTTGCAGTCATGGGACGAACTTAAACTAGATAGGTACAATGCAAACAAAAAATTTGTAAAAAAAAAATTGATTTTGTCGCAAGTAATTTGAATTAATTTTTCTATTTGAGTGGATATGTAATAAGTTTTTCAACATATCTGTGGTCAAGCATTGCTTGAAATTTTTATGTATCAATTGAAGTTTATAAGACAGTTTCACTTGAAGTTATAATAATTTTATGAAAATAAAATTTTTCGAGTGCTTAATTTAAAAAGGGAATATTTAAAAAAGACTTGGAAGCGAGCTAATTTATACCTGGTAGAAGTAAACATTAATATGCGTGTCATATCTGAAATACTTCCAGCTGCGAGTAACTACGTCGGAATATTTTTATACCTTTCATGAAATCGCATTATAACTTTGGTCCGATGTTTGTAAGTACCACAACAAAAAGAGATAGACCCATTAAAATGTATACTTATATGATCAGAACGTCGAGCTGAGTCGATTTAGCCATGTCCATTTGTCCGTCCGTCCGTCTCTCTGTCTGTCCGTCTGTTTGTATGCAATCTAGTCTCTCAGTTTTCGAGATATCCGGATGAAATTTGGTAAGTGGGTGTATTTTTTTATTGTATAAATAATTTGTTAGAACCGGAAGAATCGGACCACTATAAAGGAACGGACCACTATGAAGGTATCAATACAACTGATTGTTCAGATATGAGATTTTTCCTTATAACTCCCACATTTATGCAGCTGGGAACATGAAATTTTGCAATACTTTCACCCATTATCAACAGAATACTTATAGCCTGCATACAACTGATTGTTCAGATATGGGATTTTAATGTAAAACTCCTTTATTTGGACAGCTAACACCGTTAAATTTCGTAAGCTATTTTATAAATAATAATACAAAGTCTACTTAGAAAATCGTCAAAATCTATGCTATATAAGCTTTATCTCCTATTGTTCAGCTCCCATTTTTTTTCGATATATTTCCTTTATGTAGGAAGCTAAACCCTTTATATTGTGTTAGCGGTTTATATACCGATCACATAGCAGTGAAAATCGCTTAGATTGGTGCTATATAAAGTATATCTTCCATACCTCTGATTCTTTAGATACGATTTTTTATATATGTAAGACCTTTAGCGATCTATGCTATGGATATATACATTTTTTTTTCAAAAGCAATAATCTGTTAAAGTAAAATTGTCCGATGTTCATGAAAGGAATGAAGGCTTCGGCATAGACGAAGACAGCGCTGCTCTTACTGGTTTCTATTAATTCCTTCAAGAAAAGGCAGGATGTGCTCTCTTGAAAACCTGTTTGCATTTAAAGCTCAAATTCGCACTTCAAGAGAAGTTATTTTTATGGTTTTAAAAATTTAAAATGAAGGTTTCAAAAGAAAGTAATGTTTATAATACCTGCGTACTTATGTATGTATGTATCTATGTATATTTGCATACAAGCATAATTTTAATTTAATTTCTATTATTTCTTTATCTAAAGTGGGAAAGTTTGGGTGGGCTCTGCCCAGTTTCGTTATTTGACCTAGAGACTTCAGAAGGATTATAT